TTAAAAAGTTAAAAGCAAGATACCAAAAATGATCTCAATTATATAAAAATATACGTGGGGGTGGGAAACTAATAGGAAGCATCAGAAATATTGACACTGGGCGGGCAAGATGACTCAGAGGGTGAAAGTGCTTGCCCTGCAAGCTGGCAACCTGAGACTGATTCCTGGAACTCACATAAAGGTAGAAGGAAAGAGCCACCTATGCACATGCATCATGGCATATGCACCTGCACTTATACATACATATCACACACACACACAACACACACTACACACACTCGTACAGTAATACTTAAGAAAATATTAACAGGTCAGTGAGATGGCTTAGCAGGTAAAGGTGCTTGCTGCTAAGCCTGATGATTTGAGTTAAATTCCTAGAACCCACATAGTGGAATAAAAGAATTGACTCTCACAAATTGTCCTCTGACCTCCATGCACATGCCCCTCCCCACATGTGCACAAAATAAAATAATAAAATATTTTAAAAAATTTTATTTTACATTTTTTATTTGAACTTTTGTGATTTTCATACAATATAACTTGATGATATTTAGCGCACCTCCCCTTATTACCTCAGGCCAAATTTAATGTCCTGCAGTGTGGGTCCATCCATTGGAGCCTGGTTAACCTACCAAGAGATCCATACTTTCAAGAGACTGTCTCTGCCCCTCCCAGCAGCCATCTATTGCCACAATTTCCTAACGTGGGGTTAACACTTTAAAATTTTTAAAATGTTTTACATTTATGATCAGAAAACACATATAAAGGAGCTGGAGAGATGGCTCAGCAGTAAAAAGCACTGGCTGCTCTTCCAAAGGACTTTTCAGTCCCTAGCACCCACATGGTGGCTACCATCCTTCCATAACTCCAGTTCCAGGGGATCTGGTGCCCTCTTCTGGACTCTTCGAGCATTGGATGCATAGGTGCATTTACATATATGTAGGCAAAATGCACATAAAATAAAAATAAATAGATCAAAGAAAATAAAAAAAAACATGTGTAATGCTCACTTCAGCAGCACATATACTGAAATTGGAATGCTGCGGGGAAGATTAGCGTGTCTGAAATTTGCAAAAAAAAATCTATTGAAAGAGTCCAAAAAAGCCCATGTAGAAAAGCAAGAAGTTTATGATTTTTAATTTTTTTAATGGGCTCTTAAAATATAGCCCAGACTAGTCTCATATTCTCAATCCTCCTGTCTCAGATTTCTGTGTGCTAGCTGGGTTACAGGCCTATGCCACCACACTTGGCAAATATTATTTTTAAAAAGCATGATGATGCCATTTATATTTAAAATCTTTAAAAATCAAACTCTAAAGTGGCAAGTGTGATGATGGTGAACAGAGGTTGGGATAAAGAGAAGGGGAGGAAATGAGTTGTTGATCAAGGGGTACAAAATTTCAAGTAGACATGAGAAATAACTTTTGGGGTCTATTGCCCTGCAGAAAAATTGTAGTCAATAAAAATACATTATATATTTTTTAAAAACATGAAATCTCCTCCTTTTCTTTGGTGATTACTGACATTCATTTAAAAGTCAAATTTTTCCTTTTAGGGCATTTACCTATCTATGGCAATTTGGTTATGCGTCAGTACCTAATGGTTATTGGATTAGCTTGCAGCCACACAACTTTTAGCATTTCTTATGTGCTGCTATCGTAGTTGTGGTTTCCCTGCTGAAAGAATGATTTTATATAAATTCGTAAGCCATGTTTAATGGGTTTTTTGTTTGTTTTTTATTTTTGAGACATGGCCTCACTGTGTAGCTCTGGCTCACCTGGAACTTACTACATAGACTAAGCTGGCCTGGAACTCAGAGTCTACCTGCCTCTGCCTCTTGAGTGCCTCACTGCATGAGGCTAAATTATTTTTAAAGTATGCTGTTTGATTTGATAGGATACAAATTCTGTTTCAGTGTGCCCTGGTACAATATGGAAGACAAAGCAAAATTCACAAGGTCCTAGGAACACAGAATATTATTGTAGTTTCTGTTCCATCAAATACATTCAAAAGTGACATGTGCATTGATAAGAGACTAGGAAGAAAACATTTAAGATTTATTTTCTATTTATTTTTATTTTATGTGTATGAGTGTTATGCCTGCATTTAAGTGCACTTGTATCATGCAGTGCCTGAGGTGGACAGAAGAGGCCATCAGATCCCCTGGAACTGGAGTTATGGACAGTTGTTAGCCATCATTTGGGTGCTGGGATTCAAACCCGGGTCTTCTGTAAGAATAGCCAGTGCTCTTAACCGCTGAGCCATCTCTCTAGTCCCCATATGTGTCATTCTTGATTTTCTTTCTTTCTTTGTTTTTTCAGTTCTGGGGATTGAGCCCTGAGCCTTGCACATGTTTTCTGCCACTGAAGTTGTCCTTTCTTCCATTCCTTCTCACAGGCAGCCCTGGAAGCACTGGATGAATTAGACTTATTTGGTGTGAAGGGTGGGCCCCAATCAGTTATCCATGTCCTGGCAGATGAAGTACAACACTGCCAGGTAAGGAAATAATGGGCCATGTTTTAGCAAATTTTGTTCTTGCCCATAGTCAGACTTAGCATGAGTTTTAGATTAAAGGGAGCAACACATCACCTGATTGTTACCACATGACCAGAAATGTCTTTATCAAGCAATCAAGCATGCTTTGCTGAGATAAGCCTGATAGAGCATGAGCTGTAAAATAGATCATAGTTCTATTGTCTGACCCCACATCATAAAAAAAACACCTATGATAGTCTATGAAATTATCCACTACTGTTATATCATGGGCCTATGGTTTCTTCTCCTGACAACCTTTTCATAAACATACAAAGCAAAGAAGAGACGATCAATTGTGAGTATTCTTGATAGTGGCTGAAGCATTGTCGTGTCCCTGGTTGGCTCTAGGGTTACATATTTGGAGATTAGATTGTTAATGTGGTAAAAGCTCCATCTTTAGTTTTATGATTGCTGCCTATATTAAAAAATTCACTTCACTGGCATGATGCAATTTCTCTTTTTAGTCAAACCCTAATTAGATATCCATGGTATCTTAGTGAATATAAGTTTCAACTTCGAGTTTTGAAAACAACATTTTCTATGGAAAAATATGTCATGGATGAAGAAGGGGGACTATTTGTGGGGAGGAAGAAGAATGGAAGGAGGTTTCTGGAGACCAGGGGAGGTATGAGGATAAATATGGGCCAAGTACAATAATATACATGTCTGAAAATATAAAGAAGCCCATTATTTTGTGCATTTACTGAGAACTAATTTAAAAATATATCCGAGGTGTAGATAATCCTTTGCTACTCAGCTTCTCAGCAGCTGCAACTCAGCTTTATCCTCATCTAGCTGCTAAAGGAGCAAAAGGATTGTGTGGGGTAATGAGGGTAGAGCTGTCTTTATCCATGAGCAGCTGCTTTAGAATCAGGATGGGGAAGTGCTGAGAGCAGGATTAAGAAAAGTGACATCATACCAAGGAAACTGCTTTTTAAGGTCTCACTATTTAATAATGTTTAGGTTATTCTTCTGAAAGCTCTCGCTCCACATAAATCACTTGGAACTAAAGCTGTTGGTTTTACAATACCAAGGTATTTACTAATATAACATATTTTGCTACCTTTCTCTTAGTCTATCCTGAATTCACTACTGCCCCGAGCCTCAACATCCAAAGAAGTTGATGCTAGTCTGCTCTCAGTGATCTCCTTCCCTGCCTTTGCTGTAGAGGACAGCCAGTTGGTAGAGCTCACGAAACAAGAGATCATCACCAAGCTTCAGGTGTGTGACCTGTGCCTTCTTCTCTTTAGGCCTGTGATTTAAAGGGAGATTAGTATGAAACATATCAGGAATTTCAAGAAAGCTTTCCTTTGCCCAAGTTGAGCTCTTATAAGTAGTTTCTTTTGAAATCTTTCAAAGCTTCTGTAATCACTGCCGTTGGGAGTTCAGAATGGTACATCCACAGTTGGTAGATTCTTACAAGTTTTAACAGATATCTACCATATGACCCAACAAACAACCTTACTCCTTAATATTTACTTTAAGAAAATCTGCATACATTTATAGCAGCTTTGATCATAATTGCAAAAAACTTAAAACAGCCTTCAACAGAGAAACAGATAAACAAATTTTACTACATCTCAGTGGAATACAAGCTACCAATCTATGAGACATATGATTCTTAAGTGCATTTTGCTAAGAAGAAAGAACAGATCCCAGAGACTACACATATTATATGATTCCATTTATATGATACTCTGGAAAAGGAAAAACCAAAGGGAGGAAAATAATTTATAATTGACCAAAGTTGGAGAAAGAGATCTATAAAGATATGGCTCTGGAGAATTTTGAGACAGATGGAACAGTTGCGCTGGTAGACCATAACTATATGTTTGCCCAAACTCACAAAATTGTATACCACAAAAAGTAAATTTGAAGCATCATCTAGGATGTGCTAAGAAAAAATGAGATGCAGAGTGGGAAATGACTCTTTAATTGTATTACAAATGAGTTGAATAGCCACATTGAAATGCCCTAAGTGTCAGCAAAGTTTATTTTGACTGGATAGTGTAAACCTAAGACAAAATTAGCCACATGCAAACACTGGACTCTAGTTCATAGGTCAGAAAGCTACATCCTGTCAACGGGGCCAGTTGTCCTTGTAAATAATGTTTTATTTATCCCAGTCCTGTGTACATATCATCTACTGATGCTTTCAAAGTACAATAGCAGAGCTGAGTCATTGCAACAGAGACCATATGGACTGCAAAACCTAAAATATTCATTCTCAGTCCCTTTAATAAAAAGTTGACAAACTCCTGCACAACGTGATAAATTTGTTTCTCAAGAAGTATGGGTTAGTGTGGTGGTTTGAATGAGAATGTCCTCCATAGGTTTGGGGAGTTCTTAGAAGGTATGGCCATGCTGGAGGAAGCATGTCACTGGGGGCAGGCTTAGAGAGTTCTTAAGCCTTGCCAGATCTCCAGTCATTCACTGCTTCCTGTGCCTGCTTGAAGATATGACCATTTAGCTTTTGCTTCTACTCCAGCCACCTCTGCCACCATACCCCCTGCCACGATGAACTCTTGCCCCTTTGGAAACATAAGCTAAATAAACTCTTCCTTTCATAACTTCCTTTGGTCATGGTGTTTCTATCATAGCAACAGAAAAGTGACTAATACAGTTAGCAACTTTGAAAATATTTGTAAACAAAGGTTGAACAAATAAGTAAATATATAGTACATATAGTAGGTAATGAGACCCAGTTTTCTCACTTTTAAATAAAGATGTTACAAATAGGGTATGGGGAAGGACAAAATGAACTCTGTGATGCTAGAGGAAAATAGATGCTGCTGAGTGTGCTGGCACATGTCTTTAATCCCAGCACTTGGGAGGCAGAGGCAGATGTATATTTGTGAGTGTGAGGTCTGCCTAGTCTACATAGTGAGTTCCAGAGGGATCAGGGCTACATAGTGAGACTCTGTCTCAAAAAAAATAAGTGAGTGGGGCTAGAGAGACAGTTTAACAGTTAAGAGCACTGGCTGCTTTTGTAGAGGACCCTGCTTCAGTTCCCAGCACCCACATGGTGGCTAACAATCATCTTTAACTCCAATCCCAGGGGATCCAATCCCTCTTCTGGCCTCCATGGGCATTGCACGCACAGGTGCACTTATGTACATGTATGGCAAAACATTCATACACATAAAATTTAAAAGTAAGTACATGCTGTCAGTGTGAACCTCTCTCTCTCTCTCTCTCTCTCTCTGTGTGTGTGTGTGTGTGTTTGTGTTTGTGTGTGTGTGTGTGTGTGTGTGTGTGTAAGGGAGTTGAGGGGTGGGGAAAGTTTATATAGGGATGAATGCCTATATGTGTGTTTCCTAGCTTTGTGCACTCAAAGAGGTCAAAGACATGCCTAACATTGTCCAGATTTAATTTTTTAATATCATTCCCAATAAAGTTAATCAAGAATCCTTGAACTAGTGGTTGGTTTGAGGATCAGAAGAGGAGCGATACAAGAGGATCTGGAATCAGCTTATGGTTTCAGGAAGTAAAGTGCTCAAAAAAATGATGGGACATGTCAAAGGGGTACAGAAACCAACTAGAAAGGATATGTAATGAACAAAGTAGGAACCATTTGAACTAGAAAGGACATGTAATGAATGAAGTAGGAACCATTTGAACAACAAAATAATTATTGTAGTATTGTCTTATAACCCGAAGAATAAGTGAAATATCTATGAGTCTATACTGATAAAAGGGAAAATTATAGTGAAGAAATCCAGAAGATACCACTTTAACCAAGTAATCAGATGTAACATCACTAGTAATAGGAAGAGTGCCCCCTGATACAAAGCACAAAGGACACATAACCTTTGTGGTGCCTTCTCAGTAATGCAGTCCTCAATACCATCATGTGGCAAAGCCAGATAAAAATAATTGATGGGCCGGGTATGGTGGCGCATGCCTTTAATCCCAGCACTCTGGAGGCAGAGGCAGGTGGATCTCTGTGAGTTCAAGGCCAGCCTGGTCTACATAGTGAGTTCCAGGACAGCTGGGGCTACAGGGAGACCCTGACTCAAAAAGACCAAAAAAATAATAATTGATGGACAATTTACAAATGAAGTGATGAACACTTTCAAAACTGTAAAGTCCTATAAACCAAGGGGACTGTCAGAGATTAGAAGAGACTAGGGAGACATGACAACCAAGCGAAATGTGAAATTCTTTTAATTTGTGTGTATATGTGTGTACGTGCGTACGTGTTCTGTTGTCTTCCTTAATAGCTCTTAATTTTTGAGATGGGCTTTCACAGAGCCTGGAGTTCACTGATGCAGCTAGACTGGTTGAACAATAAGCCCCAGAGAGCCTCCTATTTCTGTCTCCCCAGCACTGGAATTATAAACACTGCACTACCCCTGGGTTTTTATGTGGGTCCTGGGGATCCGAAGTCAGGTCTTTATGCTTGTATAGCAAGTACTTTACCCACTGAGCCATCTCCCCAGCCCTATCGTGTGGGATTCTGAATTGGGTCCTAGATTAGAAAAAAAGGACAGTGATGGAAAATCCAGTAAATTATAAATAAGTTAGATAATTCAATTGATAGTATTATACCAAGTCAATTTTTAGTTCTGATGTATGTCCTGTGGTTATATGAGTTGTTAATATAAGGCGATAAGATTTGATGGGTACAGTAGGACTATGTAATGTTTTATAACTGTTTTATAGATATAAAATTACCTCAAAACTCAAAAACTCTTTTTAAAATAAGCTATGGTTTCTTATGAGCTGTGTGTACTATGGACAAGACTGTATAGATTAGTAATTAGCCTGTTGCAGCCTTGCCACAAGATGAATTACCATGGAGAGGCTATTGTTAGGAATGCTGCTTTGGGAAAGAACCTATAACAGATTCCTCACTTGAAATTAAATTGATATGGTCTAGAGCAATGGTTCAGTGGTTAAGAGCACTTGCTATTCTTGCAGAGAAACTGGGTTGAATTTCCCAGCACCCATATGGTGGCTAACAACCATCCATAACTCCCTTCCAGGAGATCTGCTGGCCTCTGAAGGTATTGCATGTGTGTGGTGCACTTACATGCATACAGGCAAAACATTTATACACATAAAATAAAAATAAATAAAATATTTGGAAACACAAACTCTATCAGTCTTATTATATATAATATATATTATATATATTAGAGTACTATATAAATATATTCCTCTGTGTGTGTGTGTGTGTGCGTGTGTGTGTGTACCAGCCATTGGGTGATTAAAAGGATCAGAGTGTAGAAGGGTGAACTCCAGGCTGTGGACTCCCATGAAGCAGTATGAGAGTCCCAGGAGCTTTACTAAATCATAAGTGATCTCCTGACTGAAGAGAAAAGAAAGTACATTGATACAGGTAATTTCTGCTTCTGGGTTGATTTTAGGTATCCTGTCTAAGTTGGTGAGAAGTTGGTACATGTAGACATTTTAGAGGATGTATTTCTGCTTAATTATACAGTCATACCAATGTGCAGGCTTCAGGACATTTTTCTCTGTGTTCCCAGGGTCGTTATGGTTGTTGCCGTTTTTTACGAGATGGATATAAAACTCCTAAAGAGGTAGGTTTCTTTTCTTAATAGTGAAATATGGCAGAATGGGTCTCTCTCATTTAGAGAAAACACCTCACTGATAGAATTTATGCATATCACTAAATAGAATGAGGATAAGTGATGTTTGAATATTTGTTGAGCTTACCTGCCAAGTTCTGATTTGTGAGCCTCTCTAGATTGAATACCAAAAGAGGGGGAAGTCCTTCCCCTTTCAATTGGTTAGTTTAAGGGAAGAGCTATGATGGGTGCTAAAATCAGTGCATGGAAGTTTGAAGCACAAATAATATTTGCATAGTTTCCAAGAATTTCCTCCTAAATATTTAATCAGTACAAAGGTGAAAAAAAATCTTACCATCAGTATATCTTTCTGGCTTTCTGTCATAGTCCATTTTATGTTGCCAGTAACACAAGACTGAGTTTCAGAGAAAAGGGGTTTGTTTGGGTTCACAGTTCTGTAGGTTCAATATCAAGTGGTCCACATCTGGTGATACCCTTCTTGCTGGCAGAGTCCCAAGTGTTGTAGTGAATCATATAGCAAGAGACAGGGAACACTAGTGTGTCTCTTCCTCTTTGGGTCCCTCTCCTCCTTTGAAAGCCACCCCAATTCAATTTCTACCCTAAGGATCTTACTGAATCCTAATCCCCTCCCATAGGTCTCACTTCCAAGAATCAAATTTGGATTAAGTTTCTACCCTCCTAATACTTCACAATGGGGATTAAATTTCAACATATCAAGCCTCAAGGACACCAAATTTCAACTATAGCAGCCCCATCCAAGTTTTCTAATCTGTAGTGAGTTAGTTTTAAAAAGAACTTTATTTTGAAATTTTAAGTTATTTTTGTTCTACGAGTCAAACTTTCTTCTTAGAAATATCAATGGAGAAAAATACACACACACATACACACACACACACACACTCACACACATTGTTTAAGGCATAGGTGAGCTTTTCACTATGAGTACTTGCCTAGCATGCTCAAGTCCCTCGGTTCCATTCCATGCATCACACACAAAAAAAGAGGTATTATGGGGTGAGATTGCTCAGCAGTTAAAGAGCACTGACTGTTCTTGCAGAGGACTGGGTTCGATTCCCAGAACCTACATGGCAGCCAACAGCTGTCTGTAACTCCAGTTCCAGAGGAATCAAATGCCCTCTTCTGACCTCTGCAGGCATTGCACAACATGGGTGCATTTACATACATGCAGGCAGTACACTCATACACACAAAATTTTAAATGTTTAAAATTAAAGACACATTATGATATTTTTAAATTAAGCTTATGGTCTATTTCCTCATTTCTTTATTCCTTAGCCCTAAATTTGACTTGTTCTGATCTACTGTAATTATGCTTGCTCTAAAACATCATTATAAGCTCATAACAGACCAGTTCAATACCCTTTTCTAAATGCTTACTCTCCTAGACTTTTCTATATGAATGTCATTTTCTTGAAATTCTCTTCCTATTTTAATTTCCACTCTTGTCATTTTTGTTTTTCTGTCTTGTCCTCATGTCACTCTGAAGATTTATCAGAAGTGCATTCTTGTGCAGTTCACTCTTTTTATATAGTACTTGTTTACAAAACTCATCTATAACGTGTTTTATGTGTCACCTCTCCAAGGTTAATTCCAAATCTCTCTTTTCTAGCTGCTCTTCTAAGCATTTCTATTTGTATATCCTGTTACTTCCTCAAATTTAATAATTATAAAACCATACTCAACTTTATTACAAACCAATCTTACTGTGGTGGTTAATATTGTCAACTTGACAGAATCAAGAGACAAGCCTCTGGGTATGCCTTTGAGGGCATTATTAGGTTAACTAAGGCGGGATAATCCACCCTAAATGTGAGTGGCACTATTCCTGGACTTGGGTCCTGGGACTTCATAAAAAAAAAGAGAAAGCCGGCTAAGCTCCACCATTCTTTGCAGTCTTCTGACTGTGATTGCACTGTGACCAGGTGCTTCAGTCTCCTGCCACCTTGTCTTCTCTGCCATGATGGATTGTACCCTGGAACTGTGAGCCAAAATAAGCCTTTTCTTCCCTTAAGTTGCTTTTGCCAGAATATTTTAGCATGGCAACAGGAAAATAAGACACTTTTTCATATATCGTCCTGTTAACAGGCTTTATTATCCCAGGTCCACTAGTTGGAAGTGCTTTACTAAGGGAAGAGAGTATGAGTATGTGTTTACTGCTTTCCCTGATGCCTTCTTTGAAATAACATGTCAGTAGTGAAATTCCTATTATAATACCTCTAAACTAACGATACTCATCTAACTGCTGAGTGATAGGACAGACTTTGCTTATTTGTGTTTTTTCTAGGATCCCAATCGTCTGTACTATGAACCAGCTGAGCTGAAGCTATTTGAAAACATTGAGTGTGAATGGCCGTTATTCTGGACATACTTTATCCTTGATGGAATCTTCAGTGGCAATGTAGAACAGGTACTGGGCTAAGGGAAGAGCTCTCAGCAAGCTGCTCTTGTTATATACTTTGTATTGCCTCTGTCCAAATGTGAGTCTTCCTAGTAGGGGAGAGATGGAGTTGTCTGCTAGAGACTAGAAGCTGAGGACATTAAATTAAGACTTAGGAGACCCAGATTTATTTTTGCTTCAATCCTGACCATTGAGTCATCCAAATATTGTCACTGACTTCTTCAATTTCCATTTCTCTGTGAGAAAAGTTTTTCTCTTTTCATTAAAGAAAATATTTAAAGATACTAAAATATTAACTACCCTAATCATTGCCACTAGCTACATGGATCAAATTATCATACTCTACCCTATAAATTTTTACAATGAAAGAATTTTTCACTGTTGTGGTACATGTTTGTAACCTCAACACTCAGAAGGTAGGGCAGGAGGATCAAGAGTTTGAGGCCAGCATAGGTTATACAGCAAGATCTTGTGTGAAATAATATTTTTTGTATATAGTCCAGGTTGCCCCAGAGTATTTATTTCTTTGGTTGGTTTTTGGGGTGAGGGTTGTTCTTTGGTTTTAGTTTGGGGTTTTTTGAGACAAGTTTTCACTATGTACTCATGACTGACCTACAACTCCCCATGTAGACTAGACTGACCTGGAACTCATGGAGGTCCTCCTGTCTCTGCCTTCTGAGTGCTGAGATTAAAGGCATCTGCTACCACATCCACCCTGACTCAGAATTTGGGGACAATGTTCATATTCTGGGATTATAAGCACATACTACCATGTCTGCATCAACTCAGGTATTTTAAACCTGCATGTATTCATTTGGAACCTCAGTTTACTATTTAATTATTTATATGAAACTGTACAATATTTTCCTTTTTTGCCTTCTTTTCATTCTTTCATTTTAAATTTTAGAATATTTTTATTATTCCAAAGAGAGGCAATTCTTAACACATTTTTCTAGAATTAACTTGAAGCAGGTTACATAAAAATATATATACAATGAAGTTTATGGGGGGAATAGGAATAAAAAATCAAAGACCAAAGGATTTGCCAATATGGGGTCAACTTTGGTGGAATAATGAAGGTTTCCATTAGCTCTGTTCCTTTTTTTTTAAATCCTAACGAGTTTATTGGGTTTTCTAACAGAGCATAGGGTAGGGGTTTATGTTCAGGAGAGTGGACATCCCCATTTATGGCTGCACTGGAAAGTCCACACTCAGATATAGATCCTGTGACTTCCCAACAGTCACACAAAATGGCAAGAGAGGTGCCTCATGGTATTCTTGGCTTATATGTCCTTAGCCCCTCCCCCACAAGCAGTGAAGGTCGACTTATTGGGTAGGAGGGGGTAACTGACTTCTTAACAAGCTTGGGAAGGAGGTGTGACTATAGCTTGCTGGAATACTGGTCAGAGGACACTTCCAGGTAACACTCTACCCCTTTCTCTGGCTCTTACATTCTTTCCACCAACCTCTTTTGCAAAATCCCTGAGCCTTGGAGGGGGTGATAGGTGTGGGATGATCTTCCTCCCATTGTGGCAAGGGAACTTTTGGGTCTCTGCATTATCTACTTTCCATGGGCTATTGGCCCCTTTTAGTGGGATTCCGTCTACTATAAAAACACAAACAGCAAGAAGCAATAACATCTAAGCAGTGGCTGCTATAATAACTTAACCTATGGGTATAAACACAAATGTTTGGATGGCACTTTAGCAAGTGTATCACATCCATCTAACAAAACAATTGCAGTGGCTTCGCACTGGGGCCTATATTCTCCCCTGCTACAGGGGTTTGACCTGTTCTACAGTACCAAATGTATGTTCCACCTCTAGGAGTGGGCATCCTATCCAATTGAAAATTTGCTGGTTGTACATACACTATGATGCACCACTATTGCACTATCGTGTTTGGCATGTTGATAGTGCAGCACATGGGGTCCATCGTTGAGCAGAATTATAGGGGTTAGTTCTCCCCAGCCATCTTAATATTGCCTTCTGGTGCCCTGAAAGCTACCCATCTAATGGCAGGGAGTTTCCAGCTTAATGCAAGCTTGATTTCTCCCTCCCCCAAGCTCACATCATGCAGTTGTCTTCAGCAATAGGGTTTTACCGTCCACTTTCAGTATACCACCAACACTATTGGCAGTAACCTTTATTGTTCCAAAACCTCTAGGGTCCCTCTGGCCAACAGCTCATAGGGGGGCAATCCACCTGTAGCACTGGGATTTTATTTCACAACCATATGGCTTCTGGTAGGGCTTTCTTCCATCCCTGTAAGGTTTCTTCTGTGCTTAATGCTTTTTTTTTTTTTACTGTGTTTCAGGAGAATTTTCCCCCCTCTATTCCTATAGTTCTTTGTATAGCCCTCCTTCCCTCCTGCCCCTTTACCCCCTTTTAACATATTTATCCCTTAGTAACACCTTTCTCCTACTATTTTTCTTTCTAAAAGAGTTCTTTGAATTTTCAAAAAAAAGACATGTAAGTTCAAAGTATTGTCAGTTCTGCTATAATGAGACTGTATCCTTAAAAAAAAAGTCATGATGCTGGGCGTGGTGACATATGCCTTTAATCCCAGCACTCGGGAGGCAGAGGCAGAGAGATCTCTGTGAGTTCAAGGCCAGCCTGGTCTACATAGTGAGTTCCAGGACAGCTGGGGCTACAGGGAGACCCTGTCCCAAAAAGACAAAAAAAAATCATGCTATGTTTATTCAAGGAATAAAACCTACAAAGCTTATGGGAAAATGCAGTGAAGGGCACAGCACTAAAAATATTTATAAGTAACAAAATGATATGGGGCCTAGTAAAAACGGTGGCACAGCTTCCTACATGATTAATACACAAATACCGAATAGTTATAGTACTTTTACCCTGAAAAAAGCCTGAAGTTTTCTTGTAGATTTGTGTGCTCTTGATTCTTGCCAGCTTACCTGCCTGGCATCTCTGCCCACCAAACTGTGTGTAAGAGGAAGAAAACAAAAAGAAGTAAAATAAATGATAGAAATTAGAGGAAAACACAGAATAGAGAGAACAAAAGTTAGAGTGTACTGAGAGGAAAGGGGTGATTAAAGAGAGAGGAAGGCGTGCAGCCATGCAGCGAGGGTGACTGGCAGAGGCTTCCAGCTTGTCAGTGATGATATGATGAAAGGAAGGTTACCTAAAATTGGATGGGACACTGCAACAGCAGACATGAAGCAGTGTGGTTCATGGGCCTTCTTAAGTGTGTGTGTGTGTGTGTGTGTGTGTGTGTGTGTGTGTGTCTGTGTCTGTGTCTGTGTCTGTGTGTCTGTGTAGTTCTCAGGAAGAAATTGTATACAAGAAAACATGAAATTCATGTTATACTCAAATTGTTCTCTAGTCTGTCAAATGTATTATAGCAAATTTGTGTGACTTTACCAGTTTCCTAGTAGTCTGTGCCATGAACCAGCTGGGATGAAGCCACTGTGTTATAGCAGAACTATATTTTTCCACCATAAACCAAAGTTTTGTTGTGTTTTTGTACTTCTTATGAACCCAGGGCACTGTGTATGCTAGACCCTTTGACCTGCCTCCCTGTTCCTGCTTTTTTTGAGGCACAGTCTCTTTGTAACTCCAGCTAGCCTGGAACTTGCTATGTAGACCAGGCTGGCCTTGATATCAGAGGTCCACTTGTCTGTGCCTCCTGAGTGCTGGAATTAAAGGTGTGTGCCACCACGCCCCTTTTTAAACAGTTTGTGTATGTTTCAGTAAATTGTTAAGCAGATAACTTAAATCTGGCCATAATAGTCAAACCTAGAGAGGAAAGGTGACAAGGGTAATGGAAAGGTGAGTATGAGCAAAGTGTAATGGCACATATGTATGAAAATGTCATAATGAAACCTATTATTTTGTGTAGTAAAAATAATAATAAAAATGCAGTTTTAAAAGCCAAGTCAAGAAGTTATACTTAATGTTGTACATAGTGGATCACACAGGCCTTTGGAGACAGAGTTGTCTCAACTGTGCACTCAACCATGTATGTGCTTGGTAATCTAAGTTCAGAACCTCTTTGAACCTAATTTCCCTGTTAAAACATATCAGTTACACATACCTGCTAGAATAAAAACTGAAATTAAATGCATTCAGTCATGCAAAAGCTCTAGCATAATAGTTGACCTATAACAAACAATTAGTGGCAACACCCCTTTCCTCTCCCTTTTACTAGGTTAAATAAGCTCCCTTGTGACCATGCCTTCTTCGACTATATCCTTCTCTTGAGTCCTCACAGGGACTCTCTAAAATTTTGTTTTACTGTCTTTCTTTTCTCTTCAGGTTCAAGAATATAGAGAGGCTCTTGATGCAGTCCTCATCAAGGGCAAAAATGGAGTTCCACTTCTTCCAGAGCTCTACAGTGTTCCTCCAGACAGGGTAGGTTGGACAGTGCTGGAACAGTGACAGGAAAGGAACCGTGTTTCTGTGAGACTGCCTCATCTGAGTCAAATAATTGTTTTGAGACAAGATCTCCCTATAGCTCCAGCTGACATGGAACTCACTTTGTTGACCAGGCTGGCCTCAATTTCATAGAGATTTGCCTGCCTCTGCCTCAATAGTGCTGGGACCAAAGACATGCACCACCACAGTCGGCTGAGTCAAATAATTTTTAATCTTCTGATTTTAATGTTCTGAAAGTTTGTTTCTAGGTTCAGGACAACAGAAATATGATTTTATTCCTTCAGAAATAAATTGTTAAGCTTATCTCAAATACAACAGTATTGCACAATGAGATAAGGATGAAAACAAACCTTAATTCCGAGAATGATTTGGTAGAAGAAAGTGATGTTCTGTGAAGCTCTCGGGATTTGGTATTCTCCACTTTGAAGCTAGGAATCCGGGATTGCTTAGGTAGATCACTTGCAAAATGAGGCACATGTAGTCTTTGTTTTCCTTTATGAAGTATTAGGCATGGGAAAGATACAGTCTTCCATCCTGGTATAGATTTGGAGATAAGTTCCTAGCAGCATCACGTGATAATTTGTTAGAAATAGATTTCATAAACTAGCATCACACCTATCAGTCAGTCTGCCTTTTAATCAGATCCTTGGGTGATCCATGTACACATTGCAGTTTGAGCACTGCCCTAGAACATTATTTTAGTCCTTGATTTTTCAGTCTCCCATTTCCTGACTATATAAGGTATGAATTGCAATTTAAATTCAGTCTTTTATTGTCTAATATCTTACATTTTCTATTGCCTCTCATTTGGCCTCTTCATCTTTTCATCTAGGTTGATGAAGAGTATCAAAATCCTCACACCGTGGACCGAGTCCCTATGGGGAAATTGCCTCACATGTGGGGTCAGTCTCTCTATATTTTAGGAAACTTGATGGCAGAGGTAAGGGGAAACAACAAGGTTCTCCTACCTCATTCTACCTTAGTTGCCATTATAATCAGAGTTGCAATTAACTCACTAAATCTGAAGAATGTCTTTTGCCTTTTGTACTTTGACTTAATAACAGCTTTTCCTCTGGGGCATCAATATGGGGAGCACAGCCAGCACTTAACAAAAATCTCTTGCTCCCTGATAACCATGCCCATCTTGCTGCCCATGGCTCCCAACTTTGGTACTGTACTTGAAGCTGATCAAGAACCAAGCCCTGGATCTTTTCTTTCAAAACTCCCCTCAATATCTTACCTAGTGACTAATGAACACAAGAGAGTTTAGATAGTGATTGCTGATGACAGATTAAGTGCTAACCTTTCCAAGCAACATGTTTTATTCCATGATTGCGTTAACTGATAATTTTGGGCAACCTGGTAAGTGACTAAGAACCCTGTGGTCTTTCTGTTTGTTTGGTTAAGGTTTTCTTGACTTTTGGTAAGGTGCTCTCTAAATGTTCTTTACATCTAATTTTCTTGAGGCAGCTCTTAATGAGGCACAACTTTGTGTCTAGTGTCTTCAGGGGTATTTTGAGACTACATAAAAGGCTATTCCTTCTCAAAAGTTTTCCATTACTGACTGGAAAACCTTTTTCCCTACTGTAGGCTATTTTTAAATTTTTTGGTTATTTTTTATGTGAATGAGTGTTATGCCTGCTTGTATGCAAGTACACTATGAGCATGCAATGTCTGTGGAGGCCAGAAGAGGGCATGGCATCAGATCCCCCAGAACTAGAGTTAATGACAGGTGTTAGCTCCCATGTGGGTGCTGGGAACCAAACCCATTTCCTCTAGAAGAGCAGCCAGTGCTCTTAACTACTGAACCATTTCTCCAGCCCCACTGTAGGCTATTTTTAAAGATAGGGTCTTGCTATTTAGCACTAGCTGGCCTAGAACATGCTGCATAGACCAAGCTGGCCTTGAACTTAGAGCAGTATTCTTCACAAGTGCTGGATGACAGGTGTGTGCCACCACCTCTGACCTGGCCGTTTTGATACAATATAACTGAGGTTTCTCATGGATCTAGTTTAGGACTTAACTGTAATTTCTAAGCAAGATTCTTTCCTGCTTATATATGGCCGTTTATTGTCTATGGCTCTATTTTTATTATGGCCATGGTTGTTTGATAATCTTTAGTTGGCATGAACATGGATCTAGCAGTAATGGACAGAAATCTTTGGTGGCTTTCTCATTCAGTTGGAATAAATGAAATGTGATGGGGAGAGGAAGGGTTCCATAGTATTAAGGACAAAATGAGTGAGTTTATCCTATTTAATAAGGCATAGAAACTAAGTAAAAGGATTTCTACTGATCAAAAAGCACAGCAGATACATGGACAAATGAACAATGTTTATTAATAGTAAAAGACAGTAGGAGCCTTTCACATTTTATCCAAACCTATGTTCTATACCATCTCTTCTTTCTATACTGAGATAACGATAATGTTTTGGACAAAAACTTTATTTAAATAAAGGCCCACTTTGGGGACCATCCTAACACAGAACAGGGCAGATGGAGTTTTACCCTGCAGGAAGCTTCTTAATAAACCTTAGTTTAAGATACTACATTTGAAGCTATTCCTTGTCCCTTCTTAAACTTCCATTCTGTTTAGAAAATAAAGTTCTCAAAATGTTTCTTGAGCCTGTTGACGATGAGTTAACAAAATAATATTACATTTGAGCATGAGTCAATCAAAAAGGCTAAGAGTTCTTAATTTCCTTTGTGTTTGTGGAAAAGCAGCAAAATGTTTCTGTATTCTCACATTACTGTCCTTTAAATCAGCCACGCTATCCCTCCTATCTCACCAAAAATATACTGAAGTTCCCATCCTATTTTAAAGGATAGCATAGCCTTTTCATATGTAGCTAATCAAAAACAGGTTACTTTTATCTGCTTACGAAAAATCAAATGGCATAAATACGTCTCTCTCTAAATTAGCTATTTTTGTCTTCCTTTCTTGTCTTATAAATAAATGAAATGTTTTTTTTTTAATTCTCTCGTGTTCTTATGCCATTTCTCCTCACTCCAGCCCTGACATCCACTACTCACTCATCCTCCATAGTCACTCATCCTCCCTGTGGTTTTACCTTCTTGAATGTTCTATGAATGAAAACGCAGGACGAAGCCTTCTATGTCTATCCCCCATTTTTTTTTTAATCTTTTTTGGAGACAGAGTCTCACAGTCCAGACAAGTCTCCAACTCATTATGTAGCCATGGTTAACCCTTCTACCTCCACCTTTTAAGTGCTGGGATGACAGGCAAAAACCACTATGTCCTGCTCTACCTCTCTCCATTTTAACATACTCTGGAGATTCATCTACCTTATTGCTTGTATTAGTAATTTGTTCCTTTTTATTGATGACTGGTATTTCATTGTGTGGCTATACAACTTGTTTACCAATTCACAAGGTTAGAGACATCGAGTTGTCAATAAAACAACTATTAAAAAAGATAATAGGTATTTGCTTATTTGTCCATGTGTCACCATATGTATACCCAGAGAAGATGGAGGAATAACCAGAAATTTTCTATTCATATATAATTTATATTTCACCTTCTTCCTAAAAATAAGGATCTATGGCATTTGCTAAATATAAACTTGGTAAAATTAACCTAGATGTGAATTATAGGATTCAAGCATTTTAATACAGGGAAGTACCTTGTTTCCTTTCTTATATTTTCCCCTTAAAATGTTAGCTTTATTTTTTGAGGTGTACTAACATTGTTTCTGTGTTTCTTTTTTTAGGGATTTTTAGCTCCTGGAGAAATTGATCCCCTGAACCGTAGGTTTTCTACTGTACCAAAGCCAGATGTTGTGGTTCAAGGTATGTATTACTCCTAGCAGTAGAAACACTATAGTAAAGTTCTGATAAGAGGAAGAGGCTTGGGGGGGGCAGTAAATAATGACTCTATGCATCATCTTACATTATGTTAGGCTTCCAAAAGTATGTAATAAATTTGGTTCAGTCTTGGCTTTTCAAGACAGTTTCTCCCTGTGGCCCCAGCTGGCCTGGAACTCACTATGTAGACCAGGCTGGCCTTGAACCCACAGATAGCCACCTGCCTCTGCCTCCCAAGTGCTGGGACTAAAGGCATGTGCCACCATGCCTAGCCAAAATCACTGTTAATCTTAAGCAAATGAAGGGTGATCTCAGGGGATTCTAAAATATGATTTGATGCTCCTTATTTCTTTTCTTTTAAATTTCATGACATTTTAACCTCCTGGTTATGGTTACTTTCTCTTTAACTGCGTTTCTATGCTTTTTCTGCTAGTACCCCTGTTCACAACCGCCTATATATTTACATTTTGTATTTTTGTATTTACATTCTCCTTCCTAATCTGCTAGGACTGCCTCCCTCATAGGAAATTTGCTTCTGACCATTATCTTTAACTTTTCCCCCTAAGAGTTAACTTAAATTTGGGAGTTTCATTTTTTAAAAAAATATTTGTTATTTTTATTGTATGTGCATGAATGTATTGCCTGCATGTGCATAAGTGCACCCGTGCTGTGCAGTGCCCGCAGAGGTCAGAAGAGGGCATCGGATCCCCTGAAACTGTAGTTAAGGACAGTTGTTGGCCACCATTGGGTGCTGGGAATTGAACCTGGGTCCTCCGCAGGAGCACCCAGTGCTCTTAACTGCTGAGCCATCTTTCCAGCCCCAAACATGGGAGTTTCTACATTATGCAAAACCCCAAGCTGAGTTCTATAAATGCTAAGTAGTCTAGTCCCAATAGCTCTAAAATATTTCTACCACTTTTATTTCAAACAGAGCACCGATCTCTTCAAAGTCTTCATCCCATCCTTTTACAAAGTGTCCCAGGAAAAGCAGATATTTCTACCTTCCTTATTTCTTTCAATAATACTACCATTTTCCTTGTTTATTGGGGTAGGAATCTTCATATGAATTTTCACTCTCCAACATCACTGCTCAATATGGTTTTAAGTCCTGCTGTAAAGTTTTTTAAAGATATTTCTAGTCATTTGACTTTAAGGTTGATTCTGTATGGAAAATTATCTTCTCTGTTTTCTACACCTTCTTATACTTATCTCTTTCTATGGTCACATAGGTAGTCTGCTTATCAGTGTCTCTAGCAAATGTTTTATAAAGATTATTACTCATCTCCCATGAGAAACTTTGAGACTTTTGCCATCTGGCTATATTAATCTTATGTTTGTTCGAATTCATTCGTTTATGACTTCCAGGCTCAACTTGCAGCTTTCTTCTTCCTTCCCAAATCCTGCCATAAAACTAGATTTCAGCATTGGTATAGATGCCATCTAACATTTTTAGCCTTTATATTTTTGGATATCCATAGCTTTATCACCCTTTCTCTCCACTTCTATATTAGCTACCCATGGCAAGGATTAAACTTTGGAACTATTCCATCTTATCTATCTATAATTCCTGTATTCTGGTAGCCATGTATTGCAGCTTTCCTTTTCCTCTTATTACACTTGTCTCTATTTTCTTTTAGTCTGCTCTTCCCTGTCTCATGCTTGATCATGTAAATATCTCAGTCACCACTGAATCATGCTTTTGCTGTACCCATTAGAAGTATTATAGTCTTTGCTCAATCTTATAGGCTACACTTTCTGATCCTATACCTGCTAAAAGATAATGGGAGAGGGGGAATCACACAAATGAGCAGAGTGGTGGCACTAGGCATCCATGGGCTCCAACTCAGCCTCCTGTTAACAAGTGTGATCTTACCATTACTCTGCATTATTCTCACCCAGTAGTCCAAACCTCCTATACTTTCAGCTGTGCCTTTTATTTCCAGTCTAATATTTGGACTGCTACTTCATGCCATCTGGCCTGGAACTTGCTATATAGACCAACTGGCCTTGATCTCACAGAGACCTACCTGCCTCTGCTGGGATTAGATGTGTGAGCCACCACGCCCATCATGCCTAGCATGTCCCATAATGTTAATAGTACCTCTCCATAACAACAACCTTGTCCATACTTGCTTCCTTTTCTCTAGTATCAGAAAAAGGTGTTTTTTTTTCTACTAAAGAACAGATTCCCCCTTACCTTTTGATGATCCTATACTATTCTATAGTCTTCTCTAAAAACATAATCTTTGTTGAAGTATTCAGATTTTCCCATGTCATTTTTTATTTTATGTACTTGAATGTTTTGTCTGCATATATGTAAGTGCACCTGTGTTGTGAAATGCCCTCGGAGGTCAGAAAAGGGTGTTGGATCCCCTGGAACTGGAGTTATGGACGGTTGTTAGTAGTTGTGTGGATGCTACGAACCAAACCTGTGTTCTCCGCAAGAGCAGTCGGTGCTCTTAACCACTGAGTCATCTCTCTAGCCTCTCCCACTCCATTTTTTAAAAAATTATTTTCATATTAATTTCCCTCTAGTTATTGTGTGTGGCTTTTTCTTTTCAGATCTATATTGGTTTGAATGAGAAATGTCCCCCATAGGGTCATATATTTGAACACTTTGTCCTCAGTTCATGGTTCTGTTGGGGAGGTCATGGAATCTTTAGGAGGTTTAGCCTTGCTGGAGGAAGTATGTCACTGGGGCCCAACTTTTAAGAAGTCATAGCCTCACCCCATTTCCAGTGTTCTCTCTCTGCATTGTGTGTATGGTTAAAGATGTGATCTCTCAACGTCTTTCTCTGGCTTTGTGCTGCCATTCCTCCCCAGCCATTATGGACTCTTCCTTTTTGGACCATAAGCCCAAAATAAACTTTCTTCCATAAGTCATTTTTGGTTATGGTGTTTTTTTTTTGCCACAGAAAAACAGCTCATACAGGAGCTGATTCCACTGATTTCACAGGCTGCTGTGCAGATGCTGTGTTCATTTGGTTTGGCATTTAGTGTAGCTGTGCTTTGAGATGGCTCAGAGGTTAAGAGCACTGACTGCTCTTGAAGAGGAGCCGGGTTCGATTCCCAGCACCCACATGGCAGCTATGAACCATCCTTAACTCCAGTTCCAGGGGAATCCGAAGCCCTCTTCTGACCTCCTCAGCATTGCACGACATGGGTGCACTCACATACGTTCAGGCAATACACTCATACACATAAAAATAAAAATAATAAATAAAAAAAGAAATAACTTCCTCTCCTCCTTCTCCCTATCCTTCTTTGTTAAATCATCTTGTCTGTGAACTCCACTCATTCCACCATTACCTAAGTCAAGGTTTTGAAGAAGTAGGTATGAACTGGGAGTTCACAGGCATGCCAATCTGTGCTGTGAACAGTGGTGCTATCCAGCCTCCGCCAGCAGACTCCTTCTAATGAGTGGTGCTCAGGAAAACCCACTGTAGCAAGGACAAGATAGCTTAATGGCTAGACAGGAGTCTCTGGACACTAATGTAGAGAATTTCCACTGGAAGTATCTTCTCTGAGGACTTGGTCTCACTCCATCCTTTTCATCTGTTGCATGCAGTTATAGGTTGACCAGCTTTGCTATAGAAAGTTTAGAATAAGTTTAATCATTAACCCAATATTGTGCTGGACTGTTACTATGTTTGATGACATCATGATCGCATGCTGCTGCTCAGGTCACTTTCTCCATCTACATAGTCCAGGACCTCAGCCAAGGAACGGTGCCATCCATATCTGGTCATCCGAAGTTAATTAATGGAATAATGATAATCCCCTAGAGGCATGCCCATAGGCTGGCTGCCAGGTGATTCTAGATTCTGTCAGGTTGAAAATTAGTACCGGCCATCAAAGACAGTAGTACTGGTCGTACATCATGAATTCACTTAATGACCCCAGAGAGGAGAGGAAGAAGTCGGGGAGAGATAGAGAAAGAGAGAAAGCATAGGAAAGAGAGAGAAAGAGAGAGAGAAAGCAGGGAGTTAGAATCACTTGCACCAGAGCTGTTCCTGCCCCATTGCTCACCATGCTCACATAAGGGGTTTGCAAACACTTGATGCTCAGGCTGTCCTAAACCAATTCCATCGCTGGTCTACAAGTTTATGATTCAGTGTGCAGCAAGTTTGTGAACCAGCAGCATTCCAGGACTTAGCAACCCTAAGCACACCCTTCAGAGCAGCAATCCCACTTCCCGAGCCTTTCTCCCAGCTCTGCTCCTCCCTTAGCTCATGCCCACAGAGTGTAGGTGGAGGAAGTGCACAGACACCTGCTCCAGGAGCCTCAGATAGCCAAAGTCACACCTGTCCCAGGAACATTGTTGATTGGGCTTCTTTTCACTCTGTAGTGTCTCGATTTATTTGTTAAGTTCCACAAAGACCTGCCTTCTGGGCAGGTGTTATAATTCTCCACACTTAAGTATAATAAAGCTACGCCTGAGCTTGTTAAACATATCTAAGTCTCTTAAGAGATAAGACTGAGCCTTCTCTGGTTTCTTAATTACCAAAGTCAAGTGACCATCTGTGAGCCTACCTAGTGGTCAGATTTAAAAAATGCTGCTT